CCCGATTTCCGTTTATACGAATAATTATTCACTCTTTATTCGGGTAAATTGTAATTTATATGTAATTTATATTATACCAAATACTTTTTGAAACGCAGTTTCTCGCCCCGTTGGCTATTATCACAGATTTTTTGTTATCGGAGTGACTTATATTCTGAATGTTAGTCCGAGCGTCTCCAAAAATTGAAAAAAATATCTTCTACGATTTTTATATTACAACAGTAAAATTCGAAAATAAAAATTATACTTGCAAGACAATACACTAAAATTGTAGAACAATCCTAATGATTGGTCAAAGTGAGAGTCATGGCATATTTTTCACATAATAGTCAAACACCGATAAGCATCATGATATACATGGTTGATATGGGACAGAATCATCTCTAGATGTAGAGTCAATATACACATCACATATATTGGCGCAGATTTGAAAACGGAATTCACTTTATAATCTTCTGTTTTCGAACACTCTGGAAAACGATAACCTGCAAATATTTTGAAATTGATGTAGCACAACTATTGTACTAGTAAAGGGTTCCCCATTTGAAAAATGGAGTGGATTGTTCAAAACAGCGTTGAGAATAAGAGAAACAAAGAAAACATTCCTGGTGATTGCATACACAAATATAACTCGAAGAAATGTAAATACAAAATTAATGTTAGTGAATACAATTGTCCCATATTTACTAATATTGAAAGACGACAGTTTTGAACTCAAAATCTATTTCATTGTGATGTCCGAATGTAGTTAAATGAATAGAATAAATGTTCATTAAGGCCAAAGAAAATAATGTTATCTGTCGTATAGATTATATTAATTTCTGTTGATACTATTTAATTACTTGAATTTTGAAATTCTGTGACACTGTCATTTAAATCCAAAGTCAACGGATTGGAAATGTTAAACTGTCATTTTCGCGAATGTCACTGATCGCAAAAAAACGCCCATCATGGAGTTTCTGGTATATAGTGATAAATATTTACATATAATAGTTTGACCAGTCAGTAAAAACAAGTAAAATAACGTTGCTGTTATGAAATTAAAATGTTGTAGCGTGACATTTATTCATCAGTTAGTTTTAAAATATTCCCAAATCTTATTTGAATGACATTTCTGCAACAGATGTCAGTATATTCCGTATATGGGAACACTGACATTAATTAATAATTTGACCTCTGTATGTCTTGCCCTTATAGTTGTATCAGTATATATTAAATATATTATTAACATATCTGTTAAAGAGGAATGCAATTGAGACATCTATTGAATGATATCATAAATTATATGGTCTCTCGTTCTTCACATTCAAAAGCACGCGCAGTTGAAGGTAAATATTTTGACCAGAAACTGGTTTGTACAACTAATAGTACGATTTCTATAATTAAAGTTTTCCCTGCAATCGTCACTGAAAACAAAAAGTTGGAAAGCCCAATACGCATTTAAATACGCCTGTAATTCGCACTAACACGGGTTTAAATTAATTGTTTTTGCGATGTAATATAATGTGAGTCTTTCCCCGGAATTCCTTCTGTCAGTTTGTTTGTGCGCGTGCGCGGAGTTTATGAGTGTTTATTTTGTGTGTACTACGACACAGCAGACAAGGAATAACAAACCATATAAAGCTAAGGCCTATGCCGACACTCGCAACATAGCACACAAGGTTTACGGGCTACACGCACACTCGCAACACAGCAGGCATGGGATAAGGGCTATACTGACACTCGCAACACAGCAGGCATTGGATAACGGTTAATGTTGTGCTGACAGTTGTAACTTAAATCCACGCAGTGCAAGCGTTCATTGTCTGAAAAACTGACTGTATAAATATATAAACCTATTATAGCAAAAAATAAAATTCTATACCGCGGATGGATAATTAAAAGCATTTTTTATGAGGTTCACTTTCCGAGCTAGATTGGTCGTATTAAAATCCATTGGGGAATTTACTGCTTTTCATATTTAGTAAAAGGGAATTTTAAGACGGCATTAATATCCATTTGACATGCATTGCTGGCTTTACAGTGTCAGAATTGTTTAGTGGATATAGGCATTGAAGTGTATCGATGCAAAGTTACAAGGAGACAGAGGAAGTTCCACTAGGGATAGGAAGGAAACAGACGAGAGTTCAATATTATTCGAGACGATAAGGAAACAGACGAGAGTTCAATATTATTCGAGACGATATGGAAACAGACGAGAGTTCAATATTATTCGAGACGATGTATATGATTTTTTTTTTATTTTATCATGCAGCTAATTCATTGGTTGAAGACTCCAAAGCCTTAGCCAATCTCGTTTTCATAAGTTTTGGCGCATATACGCAATAGTACCCCAAAATTAGTCTTCAATATTGTGTTCAAAATCCAGACTACGAAGGTCTTTTATTCAGCAGTTGTTTTACCTAAAAATTATTTGTAATTATCGAATTATTTATTAATGGCTGGCGCTCGAAGAAACGAAACGGAAACGCAAACAATTTCAGGGACTATGCTGTGCTAGCTAACTTTACAGGAATGGTCATAGTTGAGACACATGTGACTTGCTTTATTTAAACTTGGGAACTAGAACAGCGATTGGCCAGTTGAAGACAGCCATCGTGCGAGCAGTGCGTATCAACCCCAAGTATAAGCAGCATTACCAGCGCCTGGGGTAAAGCAACATAGACTGCAAATTAAACTATGCGTAGTTACAACATTAATTTGATTGGCCGAAACTCTCCAAATCGCAATAGCCGTGTCGTCATGAAAACAGTAATTGATAAGAAACTCAATTAGCGTTTCTGTGACAATTCCTATACAATGGGATCCCTGGAACAGAGATATATAAATAAATCGCAGTTAAGTAATGCAACACGTGCCATTAATTTGCTGCGTAACTTGTCTTCTTTTTGATGCGAGCATCAGCCACTATGCACGTGCATGCTTCATTAGCTATTGTCTGTTATTAATATATTAGTATTTAAATGTAAACCTAAGTAAATAAATGTGTCATGCGTATATCGGTATTTTAAATTTAGGGCAATTCAATATAGCGCCCTCACACGGCGAAGAAGAAAATATGCCCAAATGCGATGTATGAGGGCTCCTTTCAGTGGTATTGCACAGCCACCTGTGGATTATGGATCGAGGAATCAAGTCAAGACATTTTGAGACGTTTTTTCTGTGAATCATTGCCAAATGTCACGTTTGTTTGTTTGTTTGTTTGTTCACTAGTAAGTTGAACGAAGTGTATAGTGGTAACGGGTAATAGTTTTCCCTAACTTGATCAGTCAAGTCAAACCTTTCGAGATGTATTTATACTGGCGATTGTGTTAAGTTTTCATTTCGCTTCTTTTTAATTCAAGTATATCGTGTAAATAAACTTGAAAATACCACGGGAATGCTGGGGGTGGGCGGGGGCAAGCCGAGAGAGTCTTGTGACATGCACAGAAAAACGAGTACAGCTGCTAAAATCTTAGACATAGTAGGTTTAACTCAAATTATAAATCTAATACTATATTAGCGGTCTATTTTTTTACTATAGTTGGTAAATAATGAATCTATAATTTCTTCACATGACGATCATATTCTAGTCGCGTTAACGTAGTGTGGTATAATAGCAGTGCTCATGGCTCAAGATATTATACAAAGTACACCTGCGTATGGCTGTGGTAGAGGTGACGTTTGCATTGGAAATAATAATTATTGAAAACACGCTCTATTGTTTCTTAGTAATAATGCCGTGACAGTAACACGCACATAGTGTGAACCTTCCGATATGCACATATATCAATTTCGGTGACCTGGTAATTTCGAAGCCCCAAACTCTCAGGCTGGACAGGTTTATATGGAGAGTAGGGGCGTTACTCAGTCAGGAAACTCTCCGTCGGTTAAAAGGTGGGTATCCAATTTTGAAAATTGTGGTTTTGTTCAAGACATGTTGGGTGGATGGCAACATTTTCCCGAATACACCGGGGGATGCTTATCTCACTATTTCTGGTATTCTGGAAATTCGACACACGTGAAAAGTCAAAAACCCGTTCCTGACGACAAGTTGGAAACGTTTGACGTCCAATGAGCGCAAAACAGACTGACATATATTCAATTGATTTACGTTTTATTAGGTTTCTAATAGTACAAAAATAATTACACGCCAATTAAAATAAAACACTATTTGCCATTTATTAAGTAAGCACACTCTAGATTTTTTAAATAATGAATTCTGTATAAAAATGAAGTATTTTGAAAACAATGATATACCGTTGCTTTGTGCAAGTAGCAGTAATCAAGCCAGTCTACTGACTATAACATAACATAGCAACGGACAATGTGTCCAAACAAAAAATATTTACATTGTTTTTATATTACGTCATAACAAGTGTTGAAGCTGTGGATTTATTACGTCATGATAAGTGTTGGTACTGTAGATTTATTACGTCATGATAAGTGTTGGTACTGTAGATTTGTTACGTCATAATAAGTGTTGGTACTGTAGATTTATTACGTCATAATAAGTGTTGGTACTGTAGATTTATTACGTCATAATAAGTGTTGTACTGTAGATTTATTACGTCATAATAAGTGTTGGTACTGTAGATTTATTACGTCATGATAAATGTTGGTACTGTAGATTTATTACGTCATAATAAGTGTTGGTGATGTAGATTTATTACGTCATAATAAGTGTTGGTACTGTAGATTTATTACGTCATAATAAGTGTTGGTACTGTAGATTTCAATTCACTCAACGTGCATACAAACTTAAGGCGTTGCTACACTCTTTACGAGTTTCAATATAAACAGCGTTCAAAAAACAACGATTATGATCTAACATATAATACATTATTTACATTTTATAAAAACTACGATTGTGTTCAATTAAGTTTAGAGCAAGTTGACATAATTAGTTATAATAAATTGCATAATTTAAAAAAATAATTTATGGTTGGAGTGATTAATGTTTCATTATCGGATTTAATGTTCAACCAGGCACAGAGGGCGCATTCTTTTTAGAAACAGTTCTACTGATCTTCCGAACCGCTGCTAGAATCATTGCTTATGACACTTTCATGACTTGGATCATCAACTACTTCAATGTCGTTCTTGTTCATCGAATCATTTTCTGTTCTTTTACTTGCTTCGTTTGGATGTCTTGATTTAACATGTCTGTCTAAATCTCTCCTGCGAACAAGGACCTTACCGCAGTATTCACATCTATATGGCGTATCGCCTTCTGCGTGCAAACGGATATGCTTGTTGAGGTTACTCGGGTCGCCGAACGGTCGCAGACATACTTTGCATTTCAGAGGTTTGTAACCAGTGTGCGTGCGAAGATGAATTTTCAGTCCGTATTTACGTGAATACAGTTTACCACAGTAGATACATAGGTGGCCCTTTTTCTTCCCGCCGAGGGATTGTTGGAGGGTCGGTGGTTCGTTTAAATGTATAGGTTGGGTGTGCATGGCAATTTCGCGGTCGATGTTCGGGAGTTTGAATGGGGAAAATTCTTCCGTTGGTGCTGTGAAAGAGAATGGTTCTGGATATTTCATGACATTAGGATACGGTAGCTTATAAGGAAGGAAGTGCGAACTGTTGCTGATATAGTCGTTACCCCCGTGATGCATGCCGGGTAACATAGAGTTATAAGTCCGCAGGGATTGGGTATGCATCTCGTACGTCTGTGGGTACAGGTGGTAGGCATGGTGATAATCCGAATAATGTGCATGCTCGACGCTGCGATCCAATCCTCCGGCGGCGGCCAGGGACAGGTTTGTGTGCAAATGTGGCGTCTGACTGTAGATTGGACAACAACTTTTCTCGAATGGTTTATGCTGGGATTGCATGTGATGGTATGGGATAAGAGTTCCCATGCCCGGGTAGGATAGGGATTTTTCAAGCGGGAACGCTGGAGTTGTGGAAAACAATTTCCTCATTTCCCCGGTGCCATGGAGACCATTACTGAGATGAGGATGCCCGGGAAGACTGGCACAACTCGTGACGATCGGTGTTGTTATTGTAACAGGATGATGGTCGATTTTCCTGATAATTGCCCTGTCACTGTCCGTCCGGTTGTTATCTTTAGGCGTGGATGACGAGGTGTGCGGCTTGAACGCCGATGCCACGTTCGAGCTAAACAAAGTATTAAAATGAGGTGTAATCTGGGGACTACCATGGCGACGGGTAATCAAAGTATCTTCTTTCTTGCTTCCATGGTTTTCACTGGCTGTACCCATGCTGTTCAGTCGACTCTGTGCTGCGGTGGATACGAAGGGCGAACTTTCGCTTGCTCTTGGTGACCTCTGATTAGTTCTCGTTTCTCGTTTGGAACACTTGAAATGCAGATGCGACTTTAATGTGTTGGGATGGCGAAACACTTTCCAACAATGATTACACACGTATCGCTGATCACCTGGGGAGAGAAAAACACAAAGCTTTAGCTGTGGAAGTTACGTACGAATTACATAAAATAATACTAGTATACCGTGGTTTGTTTTCACCAGAATAACGAACGAACTACGTCGTGAACCGAGTACATCAACAAACACGGTGATTAATAAAGAAACTATAAAATTTAGCAGTAAAATTCATAATTGTTCACACCGGTTTATCGGATCCGCTGGTTATGGGCCGGTGATAACTGGTCGTCGAGAGTTAAATGACAACCAGCGGTCGATTTGAATTGAACGCATTCATATATAAAAGTGCAGCCTGTTTTGAAAATTAAGTTCTCATACAAAATATCGATATTCACTGCCCTATACCAGACTGTAAACAAAATCTTTTACTTCAGTTTCCTTGTTAATAAATTAGTTGCGTGGAGTTGGAAATAAACCTGTGCTATTATGGTTCGTTCAATACACAGAGCTGTAAATTTGCATTCTTCAAAGTCTTGACAAAATATTGTTTAATTTGATAACGTAACGATCCATCAATTCCTGGACAAAAATACGTTCGAATGAAGGTGCACTCGAGAATATTTTTTCTCATTTGTCTTCAATTTCAAAAGATACTTGAAAATAATTCGTAAAACGGAAAAAGGAGCTAAAATATGGTATAATGGACGTGTGAACTACACAGGTGTCAAAATAAAATTACTTGGTGCAGCATTGATAGTTGCTGCCCTGGCGCTCTATAGACAATTCGACACTAATTAAGTTTCTATTTGTAAGCCGTGTAACGTACAATTGATTCGCCTGCTTGTTTTGTATCCAACGCGGCAAATTATCGACCAAATTTTCTATCGTATTAAAATAAAACTGGTATCAATTTTGTGCAATCACTTTTCGGTGACGTCCACGTGTTTTCTTTTTAATTAACTTGTATAGGGTTACGCGGAAAGATTATACTGGATATGTTAATTTGTTACATTTGTTCATTTCTGACTTCTGAATATGTTGAATACATCACGAGTAATTTACTACCAGAGTAAAACAAATGAACACTTTTATGACGTTATACGTTACAATTGGTGTAGTTTACACTCTTTGGATTTATTTTGTTTTTACGACTCAACTCCACCAGCTTAAAGGGTAAAGATGACTGTCTATAAATACACTGTTGAATCGAATGAGCTTGTGGACATTGAGGTTAACAACATTAGTTGTAATTTCATTTATTAATTCAAAATCAGCGTATGTCTGAACTTTGTATTTAATGGTCAATATTCAATATATTCGATTAAATATTAACCAATTAGGTGAATATTTGTAAAGACTAAGCAGAAAGATATACGAATCATGGGAAAGTATTGGCGGACGGACTTTAGCCTAATAATGTTGAATGTTTGTTAATTTGATTAGCTTTCTTCATAGCTCTGAATGAACTCTTTATTCAAAAATACAAATCGTGACCCACTAAAATACGGCGCTTGAGGAGGAGGTACTTTGGGTGCAGGGGCGGATACAGGATTTGTTTATGGGGGGGGGGTCCAAACTTTAAAATCGCCAGACTAAGTTAATGATTTTGTTATATTATACAAAAGCAAATTGAATATTTTTTTCAATGGGGTCCCGGACCCCAAGACCACCCTTGATGTCCAGTGGTCAAAAGTTGCAAGCGTTCATTGAGTATCAACAACATCATAGGGCTAAACATTTAATGTGGAAACGGTGTATTTAGGGTGGAGCCAACATAAGGAGAACCGCTGGTTTCTTTTCTAAAAAGACGTGTTACGGACATGTCCATGTTAAGTCCCAACAAGACACGAGTTACGTATTTGCTTCACGGATTTGTCACAAATGGTGGCAGCATACATAGCGTTCACACAACAAGCAGTTCAAAACAGGGTTCGTTTATGGGACGAAACACGTCCTTGGTGTCAGAAAGTCATCAAGTCAGTGCGACAGTCAAACACAATAGTGATATCCACGTTATTATCGTAAAGTTAAACCAATGTCATCTCTGACCGACGGATCTCACAATACACCATGTACCTTCCCTTCCGTTTGACGCGTTCATCCGTGTGAGTCTGTGAACAAAAGATTAGAGACAACTCTCCTTGTGGGATAATAGAAAACGAACATACGTTGGCGTCGTTTCCCCTCCCCGTTTCAGTTTTACTGCGTGGTCTCCGTGCCTGTCGCTATAGTTCGCATTGAACAAGCATTACAGAGAACGAATGACACAAACAAGATATCAACGTGTTCGACCACCTCCTGTCTGCTCTCGCTACAGAATGATTCTGTCCATGTATCACTTGGTGTTAACGACAGTGTTCATATTCAATGCAATCGTCGACGAATAACTGTTTAACAAGGAGAGAACGAAGTTGAACTTGCTCACTAGTCAGCCAATATTCAGTAATTTATGTTGTAAATCGCAAGACGTTTAATAGTTGTAACTAAATCAAGTACATGCATATGCTTCGATTTTTTTTTTAAATTTAGGCTAGAATAATAAATTTTCATTCATAACGTCAGGACCACAAAATTAAATGAGTGTTGTATTTAGTACGTTGAGAGGGTAAACAGAAATAAAATTGACAGGTTTATCGTGACGAGGTTGTAGGGATATCGGTGTCCTTATCGCGTGCATCACACGCTCTCCGTTCGCGTGCATTCATAATTAAATCAAACTGAGAGTGGAGTGATTAACGAAGAACGCGCCTAATTATAATTTGCATAAAGTACGCTGGCGGGGAGTCCCGTGTGAACGTATCTAGGTTAACGGTAACCGTGATTGAAGCGAAGAGGTGGAAATAACGCATGTCGGGAAAAACGGCGCGGGATTGCCAAATCAAGTCAGACACACAGTTGTAAAAGGTGACATGGCAGTTCTAAACTAACTAGCAATGGGCCTTCTCAGTCAGAACTTTGTCCTAAAATTTTAGATTCGTCATTTGGACTGAAAATCAGCCAGCTATAAAATGAGACCACCTGCAACAATTCCAAGTATTTGGCGACAATGACCTTGGACGCTAGATCAGTCAATAAACAATTAACGGTAATCATCTGGGATTAGTCTAACTTAATTTCGTTAAAATGTATCATTTCATGATCTTCCACTGACGTTTCTATGGAAAGTAGATTATCTTAACACGATTAACTGAAATCCAAATAAGCATGTGTACTTGTGATGACATCAGGTCGTTGTATGTATTCTACTCTATTATTGCAACATAAAGGACAATTTAATATAAGCTTTTAAAGTGGTAGTTTATTTACTGTGAAAGGTTGTTACAGTTGTTTCTTAAATACAGTTTTGTAGAATTCTGTTCCAAAATCTGTAGTCGACATATGATTTAACGTTATCTAACGCCCGAGATACACTAAAGAATGATATTATTTAAATATTTAACAGGTTTCTGGAATCGACGCAAATTTGCCTTCGACATATGATTTTACGTGACTGTGAATTTAGGGGCTGTTCACGATGGGTGCATGGCAATAACGCCCGAGGCACGAGACGAATAATATTGTTGAAATATTTAACATGTCTCTGGAGTGCGTTGACAATGCAAAGCGATAACGTGGATATGGTGTTCGAAGTGAATACGGAAAACAAGCAGCCTTGAAGAAGAATGGCCAGAAACGAGACTTATAAAAAAAGATTAATAATAGCACATGGCGTATAATGGATTGGGGGATTATAATGTCGCATGAGAATGATAACGATCTTTGACTGGTTTTCATTACACCATCTATGTACATGGTCTGTGTATATCCACACTGTGTGCACGGAACACATTATTCATATTAACCTATTGCTTGGAGAAATCGGGGCAAAGTGCAAAGTAACGAACGCTTAGATGGTTAGGTTGTATCACTATACCAAAATGCCTCTACGTTAAAAATACGTAACTAAGCAAAGTATGTTAATGTTTTATTAGTTCGAAAAAATATTTCAGTTGATTCATGTTTATTTAGTCGCAAAATATCGATTTCTTGACGATTTGTGAAACGAAAAAAATGCCCACTTTGAATGAATGTATGAACAAAATTTGAAATTTAATCACGACTTTTATAAAGTTATTTAGTAAACAAAGCTTTGTCTTTGAGTGCATACTACTAAATCCAATTATGTAAATAGATTGTAAGTCACACAATGCATTAGACGAGTGTTACTAGAGGTAATTGGCTTTTCGAATTCGACCCCTCTTCATGTAATAAAAACAAAGCCACTCTAATGAGTTTCTTAATTAAAGATTAGTGGAAATTTAAACAGCTTAGACACCTGTCAATGCGATTAATCTTTATCGTGTACTGGAGTGTCTCTTGAAATGATGACCATGCTGTTGTCAAACCACAGAACATCCAAGTTAATTTGTTAATTGCAAGGTTAGTTACGTTGCGTAGATTGACAGGTAGCAGACACGTTGTCAAAGCTTGCTACTACAAACTAAGTATCAAAGTTAAAAAAATAAAAAAAATGAGAATAAGTACACCAGAAAGCTTAAGTAAATCACCTGTTTGCTAGATGTAAGGTACCTAGCAGATAACTCCCTTATCGTAACCAACTGAATGCCACCTTCCTCCCACAAACCTTTCGTCAAGTCAACTGAGATATGGTGTGGGAAATGTTTATTTTATGAGGGTTGGTGAGACACCCCGTGAAATCGTTCTCGCTTTGTTCTATCTTAAATTTTCCCACTCTTCTGCGAAGCGTGTGCAAAGCCCAGCTTCACCATATTGGTAATTTGAGGGTGAATAGAGACGGCATCGGGTCTTCTTTACAAAGAATGTCAGTCATTCTATATTGACAGTATTTCATAAAATGTTCCCACCGATTATTGTCGGCGTCCAGTCAAACGCGATATTTAGTGAGAGCGTAGGGCTGTGAAGACGGATGGCACGCAGTATGAACGGGGGTAATGTTTGAATATTCGTATTGTTATAAGTGCTGGGAATTGCCCTGTCAGTAAATATACACGGACATTTGGGGTGACTTAAACTGTTGTCTTTTCCTTTTCTT